CCGGATAGTAATACTCTTTGGCAGCTAATAGTAAAGACTTGTATTCATCCTTCCATTGATGAAGATCTTTTGTTATCAAGTCATTAGTTCCGACGTTAATAATTAGAACATCTTTACTATCTCTCGAATTCTTTATTATTTCCATTGCGTATTTGATGGTACTGGTTTTTTCTTGGTAACTCTGTAGTTATTAATCAATTTATGGTTAATAATTTGTCTTCCTGTAGAGTCCGTAAGCAGCAAGCATGACTTAGACATTGTCTTCTTGTACTGATGATCGTCATGAACCCTTCTCGCAGTTGAATTCATAACACCATATCTTCTACCACCTCTCTGTGTGTTCATATTTTCTCTTTGGCTGGATTCATCATCTGACAGTATGCTGAATTTGTTTTGCGTTGGTACATTTGGCACAGTTATCTGCTCATCTTTTTTATCATTCTCATTATGTTTTCTGTCTGTAATAGGATTCTGTGGTTCTGCTTTTTTTTTATTATCATTTAACTGCTGGTGTACAAGTTTTACCTCATCCCTAAGTGCATTTGTCTCATTTCTTAAAGTTTTTACACTCTCTGAGACACTATGATTGCTTGTTGTGCTGTTGGTTATTTTCTTTTCCAGATCTTGTATAGTTGATTGTAATGCAGTGTTTTCTTTTTTCTGTTCTTGTATAGTTTCCTGTAATAATTGTTTCTCTGCCTTTAGTTTGTTTATATTTGAGGTCAATTGATCACTGCATTGGCTATACTTATTCTTAGATTCCTGAAGTATTCTTACAGCATTGTCTCTTTTTACATATTTAACAATATCTCAATTAAGGATACGTTTATCAATAAAGATTATTATAAGCTTCAATGGCAGATGAATCAAACCAGACAATCACCAACGTCATTTAAAAACGTTCAAATGTTATTCAATCGGTCAATAGAAACTTTTAGTTTCAGTTTGTATTGTGAAATTTATAAATATGTATAAAAATAAAGGGTTGTGGTGGCACCTTGGTGCGTTGAGTATAGCGCCCTCAATACTTTGAGTCAGCTTCCATCGTCCGTCACCGAAGAACGGTATGAATGAGCGTGTGTCAGTGAGTAGATGTGGTACATCAAGCGTTTTCAACTTGTCTCTGGTGATTTGAAGTTGACAAATTTGTGGAATTACTGTGGAATGCACATCAATGTACTAACTCTTATTTCGTACATATCATAACCTTGTCATTTTATTCGTCCGGCACATCACCCCCAAGACTACGCGTCTTAATACAAAGACCATGTTCATGTCGCCGCTGAGTTCGATAGTTTGATGAAACCGTGGAGGTAGGTGCGGCTCGAATAAATCCGGTCGCTTCTTTACTCTTTCACTGTGTCAAAACGACAATGCCAAGCGGTGTTATCATAATCAAATCTTTGGCTGGGGCACGACATTGGTCAGGTACCCATGTACGCCAAAATGACAACGCCTAATGAGGGCCTCTACGACTGTGTGCCATTATGTAGACAGTTTTCTTGCGTTCACATTTACATATGAAATACATCGCTCGTAGATGTGAACAACTGAAAGCTGATGGAACAAATTTTGGGCGCAAGTACTGACCGTGAGACAGGGATATGCGATCGTGTCAAAATAGTGCCCGAGGATCGCACGTGGCATACGTTGTGGCATTTCAAACCTCGACTCTCATACACAGTCTCTTGTTTGTTATTTGTTGTTTTCAAATGACAGCAGGAGGCACGAATCTAGAAGCCGTACCTACACTCGAATTGGTGACGTCACAAAATACATGACGTTCAATCGGGGTCGTTTCCTCGGTATATACGAATTGGTATATACAAATTACAACAAGAGAACTGGTGATGGTTGTAGAACCATAACTGCCTCAGCTCAAAGATTGTTATGTAATACAAGGGAATGTGAAGGGAAATGTATTGTAATGTTACCTCTGTGTAATTTACAATATATCTGCATTAACCTTCACTGTGAAGGACAATATGGGAGTTGACTTAAATGACTGTGGTAGAACAAGGCTGGTCAAATTTTGCGAAATAGTAGTTAGAATTTCCAGATACGCAATCGACACATTGTGGGATATCAAAATATGGA